ATTCTCGAATATACCCTCGAAAAATCCAAAAGCTGGCGTCTCGATCGGTGTGAATTATAGAATTTTCCGAGCCAACAAATGCCGGTTTAAAGGGCTGTATAAAAACTGTATAAAAACTTGTACTGTATAAAAACAAATTAAATAAGCAAAATTGAATTAAAAATACATAAATAGTGGTGCATTAATTGCGTTAAAAGTTAAATTGTTCTTAGCAAAAAGTGCTTTTAATTTTTTCAGTTAACTTGGAAGTTAGCATTCATAAACTTTCCTGGCAGGACATCCATCATCATCATCATTGGTTCAACAACCACATGAGAGGCCAAGGCTGTCTGCCTACTGGCAGATTACGAGGCGAGATATATTTTTCTTTTACGGGGTAGGGTGGTCAGCTCTACGCCCAACGCTCTGCAATCATATTAGACCGGAACTTCCGAACCCCTGCAAATCTTCATGGCACCTCCAAAACTCGAACCCGAAAACTGTGGCACCGAATGCCAGAGCGCCAGACACTCGGCCATCAGGCCCCTAGGTGGACACCCGTTAGCAAAAAATTATCAGTGAATAAGAATAGGGGTATATATTTTTATATCAAACCACCAGAATAAAATGATGAAAAGATTGAAGTTTAAACACTTTTCCTTCTAATGTTTTCAAAATTTTTATTAGGCCATCGTATTTTAGCGAATAACCATTTCCATTTCATTTTATCGTTCATTCATTTCCATTCAGTTGTACCTTTGAACAGAAGAAAACTGTGGAAGAACACCATTTTTAAGCATACATATGTTGATAAATTATTAAGCAAAAACCTTCATCTTCCAAAAAAACCATTGACATAATGCGATTTTCTTATTTAAATGTCATTGCGCTTATGTCATTAACAAATCCTTCTCTCTAGTTTTTGGTTAAATTTGTTAACTTGATTATGTCACTGTGATTAATGTGTACCTTTAATTACTTTATTTATACAATGTGACATAGAAGTGTATTTTTTTTTTTTTCCTTTCGATTAATGGCTTTTTTTTTATTATTTTTTCGATAGTAATTTGTCTTCTATTTTTTTTTTTTTTTTTTTTTATGTGTTCGTCTGTGCATTTGCTACTTTTATCATTATTTTTTTTTCCTTCTTTTTTTAGCTTTATTTTATTTAGCTTATTTTTGGAAATTTTCCTCTCATTCCGTATTATGTCTTGCGTAAATTATTATATTGTATGTAAAAATTTTGTGAATATTACTTACTCTTTAAGCCTCATGTTGTACTTCTGCGGTGCCTCATTATATACTATGGCATAACTTCTATTTGAGTTTGATTCCGTCCGCATACATTGACTATTGCAGAGAATTGACTCTGCAGATATTGTGCAGAGAACACAGATTGGCGCACAGCATGACATATAACAGGTGGACTGAAACGTTCGTAGGCTGACACATAGATGGCGCTACTAGTATTAAATCCATATGATATTTAGTTAGCCCTAACCTTCAAAAGACACGTATATAAATTTGACAGCTGTTGCACTATTAGTATGTAAATTATAGCATTTTTAGTGAAGTTATAGCATTTTTAGTGTTCATCACGTGCTTTCGCATATCCAAATATTCATTAACGATATGTCCAATACGTTCCTTTGATATATTTAGGGTCTCAGCTTACGGTTATCAGAAATTATTTTGTGGACTTTCTTGATGTTTTCGTCGGTAACGGCCTCTTTGGGGCGTCCGCTGCGTGCATCGTCCTCGGTGCTCATTTCGTCTCGTTTAAATTTAGCAAACCACTTCACTACGGTTCATTTTCCTGGTGCAAAGTCCGAATAATGTTTATCAAGGCAAGTCTTGGCTACAGTAGTATTTTTTTTTCGCCAAAAAGCAATGCTTTATTAACACACGGAATTCTTTTTCATCCATTTTTTCAAACTAACAAAAATTGCTTCACTAAAAATGCTATAACTCACATACTAATAGTGCAACAGCTGTCAAATTTATACACGTCTCTTTTGAAGGTTAGGGTTAACTAAAAATTATATGGATTGAATACTAGTAGCGCCATTTATGTGTCAGGCTATGAACTTTTCAGCTCACCTGCTATATATACTCACTTGAGTGATGTGATTAATCTGCAGATCAATAGATATTTGGATCACAACGATGCAGCCATTCATTAATTTTGTCTGGAATGATTGAACCATTGTAAAATACAAATTATAATTTGATATCAATTATCAAATATCAACAACATGCTAGAAAAAATCAAAAATCTAAAGCGGTTATGGGCGACCCGGCTAAATATTAGAAAAAAAAGAAATTACTTATTATTACTTTGAATACTTTTATACAAAATGATAAATAGTGCCTAACATTTAAAATTTTTATTTTTTTTAATAATGATTTCTAACGTACTCGGGTTCTAATGTACATGTATATTTTTAATAAATATTTTTAAAACGAGTGATATGTCTAATAATTTAACCAGGGACTATTTCAACAATTCGCGTAGTTCCGGGTTAGTCTTTATACATTAATACATAAAGGTTATAATAATGAGCATTAGTATATGATAGACTTGGTTTATTGAAATGTTTTGATTATTTTTTAGAGTGCAAAAGATAAATACATGATATTTAATTATTTATTTATAACAATTTTTTTTACCACATCACCAATAGATCATGTAAGAACCTTCAGTAGTACGAAAGTTATAAAATTTATATTTCAATTCTTTGTAACATAAATATGTCAATAAGGAATATGGCATATAGGATCCATGCTTTTAAGTCTTTTTACCCATTCAGCTACCTCAACTAAGCGCAGTCTGTCGCGATTTTCTGGAGCTAAAGCGCTTTTCTGCGCTTTTTTTTTTTTTCTGGGGCTAAAGCGCCCTTTTCTGGGAGATTTCACTTTAAGTGAAATTTCTCACGTTTTATGTTTTCCCGCAAATGGCCTGGCCATCAGTGGCCAGGCCATTTGATGAGAACCAGTCACCAATCATCACCAGATGGCCAGGCCATTTGATGATGATGTGAGTAGTCTTCAGAAAAAATAACTATCAAGTTGAGAGTTTGTGTCTGCTTTTATTTCTCTTCTTTTTCACCTTTTGATATTTGAGTAATCATTGCAGTTTTTAGACATCTTCATATTTTCGGTTTTCAATTGTTCTTTTTAGTACATTAAGTATAATTATTGTATAATTTTGTGAAAAAACCATACAGTTTAAAAAAAACTTCATTTGCCTGTTAAATCTATTCAATCTGCTGAATAAAATATAAAATCTTATTCTGATCTCTCAAATACATCCTTATATGTTACAACTTTGAAGAATCCAGACATATGAATATTGACAATGATTTTCTAAAAAAAAAAAAAAAAAGAATTGAGTTGACGATAAAGCATAATGTGAACAATTTGAGACATTGCATATATGAATATTGTCAATGACTTTTAAGAAAAGAAAAATCGAATTGATGATACAAAGAATTTTAGGTAGAACCATTCGAATTGTAAAAATTCGTTAGAATCATATTTTGATTTACCCAATAACCTGTTTTCATATTACAAATTCAAGGAATTTAGATATGGTACATATTAATACTGGCAATGATTTTCTAATAATCATTATTGATTGATTTGACGATAAGAATATAATGCTAGCAAAGAAATAAAAAAAGAGAGATTAGTTCTCAACTGATGTTATATCTTTGTAAAAAAAAAAATAATAAAATAATGTAAAGAATTCTTTAGCTTGACAGTATAATGGAACATTTTACATTTTTTCGATATCGAATGATAAGGAAGTTCATACACACAGACACTCACACAAATACATTTTTTTATTTATTTATGCCCCCATGCTATTTCTCTTCCCTTCTTTTCTTTAAACTGTTTCTTTCTCGTCTTTCCTGAAGAATGAATCTGAGAAGAAAGTCCCCCTCCCACCGCACCTAAGCCGAAAACTCGGCCTCTTAGCGATCCTTTAGCCAGCAGCTTTACAGACTGCCTGAAGGAGATGGAAAGGGTAAGGCTGTAAAGTGACGTGTGGTGTGAATGCCGCTTTAGGACTGAGCTAGCTGCAAGTGTGGAAGCTTTTAGTACGAATCGCAAAGTAGTAGAAAAAAGCATTCAATATAGAATATGTTTTATGGAAAATGACGTGTTGTGTGTTACTTAAAATTCATTTAAATATTTTTGTCGTAAGACTATAAAAGTAGATGTGCTGATTCCAGTCATATATCATGTACAAGAAAACATTTTAATTATAATTGTGTATTCCTTTCAGCAAAAGTTGCTCATCGCAAAAAGTAAAACATATTCTAAGTATCAAATAGATAATTACTTTATTTTTAATAGTTCTTTCTTAGTTAGAATTTTCTTAGTAAGCTATAAAAAATAAAAATAATTAAATTGTATAATACTAACTGACAACAAATAGATCTTTTTAACTCAGTTGTGACAAAAATAATAATTACTAACAATGACTCACATCCATACTTTAAAAATTGATATTTAAAATTATTGGCGGATATATTTATACCGTGAAATTTTTGCCAGTGTATTTTTGTTAATTATTCTTTAGATTCACATACGGCCGTACCATGCTGAATATACCGGTTCTCGTTAGATCACCGAAGTTAAGCATCATTGGGCGCGGTCAGTACTTGGGTGGGTGACCACCTGGGAACACTGCGTGCCGTTGGCAAATTTGGGACCTGAATGGCCGAGTGTCTAGCGCTCTGGCGCTCGGTGTCACAGGTTTCGGGTTCGAATTCCTGCTGTGCTACGGATGTTTGTAGTGGTTCGTAGGTAAAAGTTAAACCACTTTAAACAGTACGCCCCGGTAGTGATAGGATCGTAGAGTTTTGCGAGAATAGTGTTACTCGCGTCCGTAGGATATCTTCAAGCCACACGTGTCCCCTGGGTAGTGCTAAATGGCATAAAGCCCTTATGGCATAAAGCTTAACTGTCTCTGTATTGCCAGCTGTATTAGAACAACAGCAATATATACGGCCAACGGCCATACCATGCTGAATATACCGGTTCTCGTTAGATCACCGAAGTCAAGCATCATTGGGAGCGGTCAGTACTTGGGTGGGTGACCACCTGGGAACACCGCGTGCCGTTAGCATTCACACATTTGGGACCTGAATGACCGAGTGTCTAGCGCTCTGGCGCTCGGTGCCACAGGTTTCGGGTTCCAATCCCGGCGGTGCCATGGATGTTTGTAATGGTTCGGAATCCACTTTAAGCCGTAGATCCCGGTCTCCTATGACTGTAAGAGCGTCACAGAGCCAAAGTCAGACTTCTACCTACGGGTGCTCCATCACAACAGAAGCTGCTTCCTTCCCCTTCAATCATGAGTACGTATGGCCAGTCAAGTGGGATAAGAAACAACAACAATATATAGAAGGAAATATATTCTCATTTAAATAAATATTTAACTATTTAATTGATTACTTATTGCGGAGTGATGCACTCCTAATTTTTGCAATATGAGCTATGTCTAGCCATTCACTTCAACCCTTCTTCAGAAAAAAAGAAAAAAAAACGCTTTCCTCCAAGAGCAGGGGTTTCGCCTGTCGTGTTTATAAAGCGTAAAAACGGCTTCTAAAATAGACCCCCGTCTATTCTCAGCTCCTCCCGCGCTCAGTCGCCATTAGATCGAATGTCGCCCTCTCAGCATTCTCCGGCGTCTTTTTGTGGGTGGAAGACACAGACCGGAACAGGGGGCTTTGCCCTCGGGAGAACGTCTGGTTTTGTTATTTAAATTTCTGCTCTGTCTGAGGGGTTATGACAAACGACATTTGGCAAACGTTTCCAGTGCATCAATTAGGGGGATAACTCGGTGAAGTTGCAACATTTTTTTTTCTCAAGAACCATTAAGGTTATATTTGTTATGTATGTTGCAATAGGTAAATTATGATGTTTACGGGTAGATGTTTGAATTTAAAATTTATTTGCTTCTTAAGAAAATAAGCGAGATTTGCAAAATTCACGGGGTTTTTTAATTTTTATTTCCGCCCCAAGATAAATTTCCGAAGGAGTTTCACTGTTTTTAAACATTAATACACAAACTTGTTAAAAGCCAGAACCAAATAAATTCATTGTGACTAGTGAAAACACAAATAAAAAAGAAAACTTAACAAAAGTTCTTTGGATTGGGTTCTCTTTTAAAACACATACAATTTTAATCATTATAAGTTCATACCTCTGTTGGGTATGCATTTTTTGCAGTCCAATATATTTTTTGACGTTTTTGTCACTTATTTTATGAGTAGAAATATTTATGTCGTGCTTTTCATCTATTTTTACTAACTGAATAAAAGCATTTCTTTTTGTTAAGAGAAAAAATATTGCCTTCGATATATAATTCATTTTTTTCAATTCCTTCTATTAGTTCACACTCTCCCTATATATATATATATCTTGTTTAAATTTCCAATCGTTCATATAATACTTTTTATTCATCCACTCAAGTTCAAATTCATTATTTTTGAACTTGTAATGGATGACACTGGATGTTAATACAGTTTTTTCAAATATTAATTCAGTAATAAAATTTAATTAATTAATTTTAGATTTTTTTTTTTTTAGCTTTAAGTTGCATACATCTACAAATAGACGCCGCCAGATAAACTTAGAAAAATGAATCAAAAATATTTATAAAGGAAAATATAGTGAAAAATGTTTCTGTAATATAGTGGAAAAAAAGTAGGTATAGTAGTATTACTTGTTCATCGTTATATTTTTTTTTCTTCTAATGCAGCTGACCGTGATCTTCGCCATAATGGCTGCACCGATGTCACTCACTTTACATTACCCAGGAGGCGCGTGTCACTGGATGGTAAGCCACGGACGCGGAGTAACAATGCCCCCGCAGCGCTCTACGATCCTATTAGGACCGGGACCTACGGCTTAAAGTGGATTCCGAACCGCTACAAACACCCATGGCAAAGATGGGATTTGAACCCGATACCTGTGGTACCGAACGCCAGAGCGCTAGCCATGCGGCCATCAGGCCCATCGTTATATTAAAGAAGAAGAATTTTACTGATGCAGACGATAATTAAACACTATTCCTAACTGATGCCATTCAAGTTTTTTTCACTCAAATTTAATTTATGGAGAAAATCAAAATAATTACAAAATATCTGAATACCCTCTGAATTGGGATGCATGAATTTATTCAATGGATATGACAACATTACATTTACTGAACTGATAACAATACATTCAGCTCATAAAATAGAAAACTTAAATATTCAATTTGCTATAAAAGTTTGGCTACATAAATTTTAAAATACTTCAAGGAATTCTAAGAAATTAAAACTAAAACTCAATTAACAAAATATTCATAGTTACTATCTATTTTTAATTTAAAAAAAAAAATTTTTAAACTTATAAATTACAGTTAATTAAAATATAAAATAAATCAGATTTTACATTCTACATCTGACGTATAAAGCATTTTGGAATCTTCGATCAGGAAACACACATATAAAGAAATGATACTTTTTTAATGTCATTACATTAATCTCTTGCCCCATTTCACTTCACTTTCATTAATCCAATTACTACTGACCGAAAAAGGCCCAAATTTGGCTGGGTTTTTAGGCTTCAACGAACCTCCGAAAAGAACTGAAAATTGGCAGTTTTTTTTTTTATCCAATCATATTTATTTCTCACGTTACGAACCTCCGAAACTATACTTAGAAAATTGGATGTGTAAGCATTGGATAAAAATTTTCAGAAAAAATACTTCCTATAAGGATATATACACTGAAGTGATGTCAATATAAATTTTCAGATATTGTAGTGTTGTCGGTTTTCATTGAAGCGGTTTTGACGTGCGAACGGGAATAACTGGATATGGGCTAGTGGTTGCCATTTCGGCGTTGAGACAAGATCCACTGGTTTAAGAAAATACAACTTTATTTACAAGCCCGTAAACACCATAATTGATTACACACAATATTTAACACACAACATGTAATATATTTAAAGTCATCTAATTAAAACGACATCGCTGGTGGAAGGATTCCAGATGAATGGAAAACCGTGGCCTGGTCCGATGAGTCAAATAAAGCTGAATTTTCAGGATTGCATTGAATGCACGAGATATACTTCCGTACTGTTTTTCATGGCATGGACTTGGTACTGGACAGGATATATGTTTCAGCTACTTGGAGATCACTCTTCATGGACTTCAGGATGAGAGTTTGTAGTCCAACTTATGCTCAGAATTGTGCTAACTATATTTTCTCTCGGGGTGAGAGATTGTAAAGGAAATGTTTCTCAGCGCTTGTTGCGTCATACGTCCTCTCGTGGGAGAATCTCGATGCCTTCTGATCATTTCTTCTGAACGCCGTAGAGGGCATTCTTGCATTGCGTAGGTTTGGTTTGGTTTGTTTGTTGCTCTACGGTCATCTTGTGCACACTTTAGGCTAAACAGACCGGGACCTACGGCTTAAAGTGGATTCCGAACCACTACAAACATCCATGGTACTGTCTGGAACCCGAAACCTGTGGTGCCGAGCGCCAGAGCGCTAGCCACTCGGCCATTCAAGCCATAGCATTGCGTAGGAGGAAGCCTGGTTACATTATCAATACATGTATATTAATGTTTATTTCTGGGAAATATTTCAAATTGTAATTATTTTTTTATATTATAATTTTTTTTAAAACGACTTTTGACTTTTCATACGATAAAAAACGTACTTTTATGATACTTTTTTACGATAAAACTTAGGTTCAATAAAAAAGATGAGAACTATGAAAATATGAGCCATAAGTAAAAACATTTATGATCAAGTAGTTTATGAATTAAATTCCATAAATACACATATAGGAGTTAAATATTTTGTATAAAATCTTTTTTAATATAGTAGGTTTCTTTTACAAAAAGTTACAATATTCTTTATTTCTTTATTTTAAATTTATGAAATTACTAAAATCTTAATCATATTGACAAAATAAACTCAATTTTTAAATGATACATGTTGTTTTATAAAACAATTCTAATTCCCTCTTAATTTTTTTTCTATTTGACTTGATTTGATGGGCTCTTTGAGATTTATGCTTGAGTCAGATGCTTTATCTCATTTATCCAATTGCAAGCTTAATTATTTTACAGTCAAAGAATCATAAGCAAAAAATATAGTGTGTGTCTTAAAGATGTACGAATATTGAAACGATTTCTTCAGGGCCTAAATTCATTTTAACTAATCAAATTCTACGGAATATTTGTTACTTTAATTAAATATTATAAAGATCTTTTACAACAGAAAAAGCTGGTTGCAAACGCATATCAGCTTGTCAACAAATAGTTAATTTTTTAATTAAGTACGGTAAATTGTGTAACAATTTTATTGCAAAACGATATTATGAAATTACAGAAAATTAAGATGTTTGGCAAAAATGAAATTAAAATTTTATTGTAATTAAAATGTGCTTTCATTTCATTTCTATTAAATATTCTACAATTAATTCTATTAAATATGTTACAATTAATTTAAAACAAATTAAGGAGTTCCAGTAATGGAAAAGACTTCTGAAATTTCTCATAATTTATTTTATGTTTACAAGCTTATGCTTACAAGCTTCAATAAATCAGAATTATCTCCAAGCATGTATTTTATGTTTAGGGCTTGATGGCACAGTGGCTTGCGCTGCACTCGGTACCACAAGTTTCGGGTTCGAGTCATGGATGTTTGTAGTGGTTCGGAACTCAAACATCCATGTAGGGGTTTTTTACTCCGCGTCCATATCTTCAAGCTACACGAGCCTCCTGGATAGTGCTAAGTGAGTAATGTCGGTACGACGCTTGCCTTCAGGCGTAAAGACAACTGTCTATGTGTTTGCCAGTTGCATTAGAACAAAAAATTTTATTTTAAATTGACAAAGAGAAAAATGTAGATGATGGTTAAGGACTCCATTTGCATTTTATCATTCAATTAACAGGATATTAAAAAGGGTTTTTTTTAAAATACTGAGAAAAAAAATTTCATTTTTATATAATATTTTTTTTTTAAATTTCGACATTTAAAGAAAAAATATTTGAAATTTAATTTTCATCAATGCCACGATTTAAAAAAAAATTTTTTTCTTCGTCAAGCTATATAAAAA